AATGATGAAATCCAGCCATTTGTGACAACATGGATGGACATTGAGGGTATAATGCAAAGTGAAATAAGTCAGAGGGAGAAGGTCAAATACCACATGATTTCCTTCATTAAGTAGTAGATAATAACAACAATAAACAAACACATAGGGACATATTATTAATTTTAACATATATATTGCAGAATTTTTCCAGTTTTTGTTTTTGCCTTTCAATTTTGTTTATTGGGCAATTTTTTTTTTCAAGTTAAGGCATCTGACTTGATCTTTTTCTGTATAGTTTCTGATTCAGTGTCATGAGTAAAATGGTCTTTCCCACCTCAAAGTATATTTCAGTTATTTTAACTTTTTAGTTCCAATGGTGAATGGAATCTTGGATTATGTTTTAATACAGAGAAGATACTGATTTTATGTATTTATTTTATAATAGACCACCATTCTGAACTCTTTCTAGCTCTCTGTTTTTTCAATTTAATCTTTTGGATTTTCCAGGTTGACAATCACATCATTTGCAATCAACATGTTTTTTCTTATTGTATAGGCTAATAGTTTTAAAACAATTATTTTACTAGAAATGCCTCAAATATTTCATCATTAATTATATTGCTAGTAGTGGGGTTTGCATACATTTTATTTTTCTGTTAAGAAAATACTTCTTGATTTTTTACTAAGAGTATTTTTTTTCCATCAGGAATGGATGCTGAATCTTGCCTTTATGATTTTTCATCTATTGAGATATTTTTCATCTTTACCTCTTAGTGTAATTAATTATTTTAATAATGTCTAACATTAATCTATCCTTTCGATACAGAAAGAAATCCTACCTATTCATGGCAATTACTGTGGTTGTTTTTTTTAACTTTAATGTAATTATAATGGTTTTGGCTTTCAGCCAAGCCATTTTCAAATAGATGGCAGAGTCATATTACTTCCTTAAAGAAGATCCTGGTAACTTGAACTTAATAATGACACTACGTTTGAGCTTCTGGTTTCTTACGTTCTTGAACAACAACAAAGACAGCAAAATATTCGTTCTCCCTTACCCCTAAGAAACAAATCAAATGCAAGCACTCTTTGTTACACGGTATTTTTCAAAATGTTTTAGACTTCAAAATGCCTATAATTTTCTCTATTATAGAGATGTGTGTGTGGTGGCAAAAATAAAAACAAATCAACTCAAATTACCTATTTGCAAATTAAAAGTGAATATGATCGATTGCAAGACTCATAAAAATTGGATATTAATTTTTCTAGAGGTACAGGAGTGAGGGCACTATTCTAGGTGACATTTATCTCCAAATGAGTATGGGTTTTAAAAAATTATTATTATAGTGATATTTTAAGCCACATTAGATTTATCTAGTATTTTCATGCTATTACCACTTCAAGAACTTTGATAGATCCAGATAAAATCCCTGCTGTAGATTTGGATTATACCTAGTAGAGTGTGAGCTATCTCTTTACTTACCTAGCTTGGGAAGAGACTCTAACCCTTGTATGTTTTTTAAAATAATCCACATCGCTTATTTAATCCCAAGTATTTTTTAAATTGCTATCATGCTACTTATCCCAGTCCTGGCTGCTGTTCTTTTGAGGGAATCTACACTAATCCATTCTTTGAAATAACATATGTAATCTAGTGAGGCATGTGTCAGCCAGGCTTTAGGTTGGAGCCAGTCCTGGAAAATATTTGTCAAACAACCCTGTTTCCATTCTTCCAGTCTGAAGAGTATAATGGGGAAATTGCATCGGGTGGTTGTTGGGTCCTGTTAGAGTCCTACTAGTCTCAGATTCTGTGAACAGAATGGGTGGGAGGATTAGTGCAGCCTTCAGGTAGTAGGTATAGGTGCCAAAGCTTCTGATGACCCCCTTCAATGAACTTCCTAATGG